GTATGCTCATGGGGTTTTATTATACAGTGGTTAAAATGAGAGCCCTGAATTCAAGTTTGAATCTTGGATTCACAACTTACTAGCTGTTTGACCATGAGAAAATCAACCTCTGAAAGTCTCATTTGTAAAAGGGATTAGTAACAGTACCTATCCAGAATTGTTAAACAAGAATGTACACATGGAATTAACAGCTACCGTTTACCAAGTGCCTAATAAGTAAAATAAGTTCTAATAAACTTGCTAAATGTAACACACAGAAAAAACACATTTGGGGAACCCTCTCCAAAACCAAATTTCTCGAAAAGTGTGACATTACAGTCTGCCACTAATATAAAATGCCAAAAACCAACCCCCAAAAAATCCCAACCAAAGAAAATAAATTTTTCATTTCTTTTTTTTTTTGAGATGGAGTTTCTCACTGACCTTTTAAATTCAAACCATTACAAGAATAATCCAGGGCCTTCTTCCCTCCTCAAAGGCGATTACATTTTAAATGACCAGTTACTGGGAAAAACGGCTCCTGAGATTTTACTTATTTCAAACTATAATATCAATGTGACTTTAAGATGTCATACTGGTTGGTTGCGATAGCTCACTCCTATAATCCCAGCACTTTGGTAGGCTGAGACAGGATGATTGGTTGAGGCCAGGAGTTTGAGACCAACCTGGGCACCACAGAGAGATCCTGTCTATACAAGCAATTTAAAAATTAGCAGGGCATGGGGGCATGCATCTGTAGTCCCAGCTGCTCAGAAGGATCACTTAAGGCCAGGAGTTCAAGGCTGCAGTGAGTTATGATCATGCCATGACTGCACTCCAGCCTGGGTGACAAAACAAGACCGTCTTTAATTAAAAAGCAAACAAACAAATAAACAAAAAACAAAAACCATACTTATCACAATTTTGGTACACCTCAAAATTCTCCACCTCTCTGCAACACTGATCCATCTCACCTGGGGCAGTCAGCTATGCACTTTACATAGCACCTGCTCATTTCCCCACTTTCCAGAATCTCACAGCTGTTGCAACAAGAACGTTTTGCCAGTGATTGGGCCAAGTGCCCCTTCCTCTCTGTTTCCTTAAACTGCATTTTGTTTCCTGCACTTAAGATTTCTATATATGTATTCTACAAGTACTTCAAATGTGCTTCATCAACTGGTATATCAGTGTTAAAACAACATGCTTAGGCTGGGCATGGTGTCTCACACCTGTAATCCTGGCACTTTGGGAGGCCAAGGCGGGTCGATCACCTGAGGTCAGGAGGTTGAGACCAGCCTGACCAACACAGAGAAACCCCATCTTTACTAAAAACACAAAATTAGCTGAGCGTGGTGGTGCATGCCTGTAATCACAGCTACTCCGGAGGCTGAGGCAGGACAATCGCTTTAACCTGGGAGGCGGAGGTGGCAGTGAGCAGAGATCAGCTTGGGCAACAAGAGCAAAACTCAGTCTCAAAAAAAAAAGAAAAAATGCTCTCCCAATAATTTTTACATTTGATAACCTCACAATTACCACCTATGCTTTAATATAAAATAGATAACTTAGGGCAATAAGACATGATGAAATTATGTCTACCTATGAATATTCACTATAAGCCTATCTGGTTATATTCCCTCTTTCCTTAAATCACTTAGTCTTCTGCGCTAACATTTAATCCCACGTTGCAAGTTTATTTCAGTTATAAAATGTTATTATACCCACTTACAGCGACTATAAATTGTGTAAGGTCATTCAAAGCCTAGTTTAGAAAGGACTTGGGTTCTAGACTATTTCACAATGTTTCTTCCCATTATTATACTCTACAAAGCTAGTTGGTATGAGATAGAGAGAGCTTAAAGATACTCCCCTTTGCTTCACTTCAGAAACATTTCTTGCCTCTTCGAATTATGGGGTGAAACAGGGAAGAGTTCTCAACAGGTTTGAGGCAAAACCATTGTTTCCAATATGCACGATTTTTCTTCAAGCTTACCAACACTGCCCTCCAGGTGACGCTGGTAGAATAAGGAACATCAATCATTACAGGAAGGCAGTATTATTAGGTGAGCATTTCAATTATGAAGGAAAAAGAAAATAAAAAGACTGAAAGCAAAACTGACTTAATAACAGCAACATCCCTAGTTTCATATTCCAAAAGAGCTAAAGCCAAGATGGAAGTTTCAAGTTCACAGCGTAGTGGCATCAGAATACACCCTCAACACAGGTGTCCTGCTCAATCCTCCCTATAGCAGGCTACTTACCTGCCCTTCCCAGCCCTGAATAAAGGTTACTGAAATTCACACCCTTTCCAAAAGCTTTAGTTATGGTGAGATTAATAAAACGGAGACTGAGTCATCCTAGTAACATTAAGAATTCAATCTACAGGCACCAATTTGGCAGGGAAACTGACCCCTGCTAGTTCCTTTCAATATATATATTTTTATTTTATTATTATTTTTTTTTTTGAGACTGAGTTTCGCTCGTTACCCAGGCTGCAGTGCAATGGCGCGATCTCGGCTCACCGCAACCTCCACCTCCTGGGTTCAGGCAATTCTCCTGCCTCAGCCTCCTGAGTAGCTGGGATTACAGGCACATGCCACCATATTCAGCTAATTTTTTTTGTATTTTTAGTAGAGACGGAGTTTCACCATGTTGACCAGGATGGTCTCGGTCTCTTGACCTCGTGATCCACCCTCCTCGGCCTCCCAAAATGCTGGGATTACAGGCGTGAGCCACCGCGCCCGGCCCTATTTTTTTTTAAAGAAAACATCTATAAGCACAATATATTCCATTTAAATGATGGGAGGGAAATGGTTTATCATAATTCTGAGATGGGAGAATTAAGGCCTGGATTAACTCTTCAGTGCTGGGTGGCTTTTCCAACTCATTATTTCAAATACAGATATTATAAATTCCTTTGTTTTACAAAAGGCTCCCTTAACCGTCCAGAGAAAATCTATGGACACAAGTAGCGGGCTGCAGGAAAGCATTTTACAACCCTACTAGAAAGCCAATCTTTTTCCTTGCTCAAACTAGATTTCGTTCTGGTAACATCTCTCCATTCTTGCCTTTTTCCCCCATTTCAAGTTGCCCCAGGTTTCTGATTGCTCCAGAATGCACCTTCCAACCATTTTTCCTTAACCTGCATTCCCCTTCCTTTAAACCTTGTCTCTTTCTTTTCACCCTATTTATTTCCCAAAGGGCTCCTAATACTGCAGTCTTTAAGTCTCACTCAGAGGGTGAGCAAGCACTTCACCAAAATACGTGGAGCGGCCTCAACCTGCATAATCCCAGTACCACTCAGTCACTGGGGAGAAGGGGCTTAAGTGTGACCTGCTGTGGACAGAGACAGCTTGCATTCAGTGAGTCCCATTTCTGTAAAATATGCAGAACTGCATTTTAGATTTTCTTTTAAGGGACCCCCTGAATTACATAAGGTTCAGCCTCCAGACCTAGACCGTCCCCTGGGTTGGATGAAAACCTCCTGCCTAACCACAACAGCATGCTAGTAGTGCTCAAGTCAAGATCACCATCAAATCAACATTCGGGCAGTGTTGCTGGTTTCCACACACACCCAGTTATGTGTGTAACAAGGACACCACAGGAAAGGCAACTCTTCAAGTACCTTTCTTACCTGAACAATGCTGAACACTGGCCCCAACTACTTATTTCATCTGATATTAACATCAAAAGCCTTCAAATGAGCTTTCCAAAATTCTATGATTCTAAGATTTTAGGGAGCCTTTGTATTTGCAGTCTTTTCGGACCTCTCTCCAAAAGGCCAGGGAAAGGATACATTTGCTATAATCATGGGCAATGATTCTCAAACTTAAGCCAGCTAAAGACTGCTTGTGAGAGTTGGTTACAATGCAGATGTCTGAGTCTCACCACCCCCCCCCCCCGAATTTCTAAACCTATAGTAGGTCTAAGGCGGAGTTCAAGGGGATCCTCCCAAGTCTCAGGAGGTTGTATACTGAACATAGCAGGGTGGTGGCCGCAGTTGTATTCCACAGTGTGACCTTGACGCAGAGATAAGTAACATTCACTTAGAGAAAACATAAAATAAACGTGAAGCGAGAGTGAGCTGGTAACCGGAACTCAGAAATGCAGGTGGTGTATGACCCATGGTATTTTGCTAGGGTGTGGCTGGGCACGACTTCACCGGAATCGATTTATGCTGCAGAATCGATTTATGAGGGTCTCGGGAATGCAAAGGCACACAGGGTTCGTCTCACCTACAATCAGGTCTCATTTTAATCTCCAGGCAACCAGCGCAGCACCAAACCTGGGGCTGCGGAGTGAGGCCCCACACCCTCCGCCCCCTCTCCCGCCCTCGTCCACGCCGAGACTGCAGGAAAGGGGTCTTCGCACACAAAGCCAGACCCCAGGCGTGGGACGGCGGAACCAGAACAATTCGGACGAGCAGAGCAAAACAGGAATTACAGACTTCAGGTCGTGGCAGAGAAAACCAGCTGAGACACGGCGCCACTCACTAGGTGATTCTTTATTTCCAAGTTGGGGAACGGAGGAAGGCGAGAAGGGGGAAACCCCCGGGTGCGGTGAAACCGTCTAGAAGCGGGAATGCGGATCCTTCGCGTCCCCTCGTGCACCCCCTGCTCCCGCCCGGGCTCCCAACTAAGATGGGGCGACTTCCCACCGCCCGCCCGCCCTCCAGCCCCCGCGGAGCTGCCTCCGCGACTCCCAGCTGCTCCCTCCCGGATCCCCGACCCCGGGTCCAGCCTCAGGAAGTGGCGGAGAGCCCAGCGGGAGCGGGAAGCGCGGGCTGAGGGCGGCCACGCCCAGCCGGGTCGCCCAAGGCCAGGAGAACACCGCCCGCAGCCATCCCCGTCCTTCCCTAACGCCAGGCCCCTCGGCCGACCGGCCTGCCTGCCTGCCGGCCGGCCGACCGCCCGGCCGCCCACACTCCCGGCGCGCTCACCGCCTTCATGGCGGAGGCCATGTCGTCGTAGCGCTCCGCCTGCTCGGCCAGCCGCGCCCGCTGCAGCAGCTGCTCCCGGTCCCCCATGTCGCTCGCGGCTCGGCCTCGCCTCGCGCCTCACACTACTGACTCGCTCACTCGCCCGCCGATCCGTCCGCTGTCTGGTCGCCGCGGAGGCCGCCGCCGCGCACGCGCACTAGCTTGCCGGACGGCCAGAGGCTGCAGGCTGCAGGCAGCGCCGCCGCTCGCGCCCTCTCGCTGGCTAGCCCGGCGCGCAGTGGCTCGCGCCGCGGACGCCGCCGAAGGTGGAGAGACGACAGCGCTGGGGGATGGGAGGACGGCACAACGCCTGCGCAGTGAGAGCGGCCAGGCCCGGCGGCGGAGAGCGGCGGGAGTGGGAGGGGGAAGGGCGGGCCGGCCATAACGGTCTATTTCAAGGTGACGTCACCTACTATAAATAGCCACCGCCGCCGCCCCGCCCGAAAGCCGCGCAGGCGCTCTGCAAGTGCTGCATTTTACCGCCGCAGAGATGGAGGTGGAAGGGGTAAAACCGGGCTGGAGACTGCGGAGCCGGAGGAGGGGGCGCGGTGATGGTGGCTGCACGGGTAGTGCATTGTCATAGCCCCACCCTGAAACGCGCCACTCCATCCACGTTAGAGATCTGGCTTGGAACGGCCCCCAAAACAAACAAACCGGCCGGCGGAGAAGCCTGGCGGCCGCGTGCCCCAAGGGGCGGGTCAGGCCTGCCCCCGCCCCCGTCGTTCTGCCCGCTCCGAGCTCTGCCTGGGCTTGGGTTCTGCCGGGCCACACCCTGCCCGTGGGTCTGCACTGCTCCGGGCAGGATCGAGTCCTACCCTCGGGGACAGTCCCGCCACACAGGCACAGACACACACAATCGCACCCATCCTGAGACGTGGCCTTGGATATGCTGTGCCTTCTACCAGAGGAGAGGCTGGGACAAGTAATATTCAGGACACATTAGGAGCCAATCCACTGCTAGTTCCACACAGCATTCTCTTTAATCCTCACTACCCAGCCCACAGTGGGCACAGCTGGTCTCCCCATATTTAAAATGAGGAAAAACGAGGCCAGTGACTTGCTCAAGGTTACACAGCCTGTAAGTGGTGGGGCCAGGATCTGAGTTCAAACTCAGGCTGGACTTCTTGTGGCAAAGGGCTGGGGTGTCCCAACTGGCTGGTCACTGAGCCACTCCCAATCCCAGGTGGCACTGAATGCTGAGGGTTCTTTGTGCTACCGTGGTCTGGGCTGCCCGACAAGCTAGGAAAATAATGATTAAAACAAGGCCCCGACTGATGTCAACATGCCAAGGGCAGGGCAGGAGAAGGGGCCTTGGGCTGCCTGAGAATTTTATTGAGCATCTACTGCATGCTCAGTGCACAAGGATAAGCTGGCTCTTGAAGGAGAAGAGAGTCAGAAAAAAGATTAAGGCGTGGGGGACAGCATTGGCAAAGGCTTGGCAGCGATCTGGGAGACGGTGAGAAGAGAGGCCTAACAATGGGAAGTGAGGTTGGGTAAAACAAGATTACAGGCTGGGCGCGTTGGCTCACACCTATAATCCCAGCACTTTGGGAGGCCAAGGTGGGTGGATCACGAGGTCAAAAGATCGAGACCATCCTGGTCGACAAGGTGAAACCCCATCTCTACTAAAAATAAAAAAATTAGCTGGGCATGGTGGTGCGCACCTGTAGTCCCAGCTACTCCAGAGGCTGAGGCAGAATTGCTTGAACCCAGAAGGCGGAGGTTGCGGTGAGCCGAGATAGTGCCATTGTACTCCAGTCTGGGTAACAACAGTGAAACCGAGATCGTGCCATTGCACTCCAGTCTGGGTAACAACAGCGAAACTCCGTCTCAAAAAAAAAAAAAAAAAACACCACCACAAGATTACAGAGTGTTTTAAATGCCAGGCTGGATTTGAGGCTTCATCCTTAGGTACTTGGGAAGCCATATTTCAGGCCTGGAATCTTGCTCTAGAGAGCAAGATGTGTTCAAAGGGAGGTAACTGGAGACTAGGCCTTTTCTGGACCTGTTTTCCATCTGGAGAATTGGACTTAACTGTTTCAAGGACTTTAGAATCGAAATCCACATGCTGGAATGTCAGAGCTGGCAGGACCCTTAGAATCACCCCTGTCCAACCCCTTATCCTGAATAAAGGGAAACTGAGGTCTGAGGGAAAAAAGGGGCTGGCCCTAGTTTGCACAGCGAGTGAGCAGAGCTGGGGCCTCCATACAAGGTCTTCTGCTTCCCAGGCCTTCCTCTTCCTGCTGTGATGCTAAAACGATCACATTTTTGCGGCCCGTGAAACAGGATTTGAATGTGGGCCTGTGAGGAGGCCCACATCCCAGCCTTCACCATGCTTTGAAGAGTCACCTTTGCAGATGGAATTGAGGTTAACAAACCAGGCTGATCTTCCCCCTAGTGAATATATTTAAAGAGCATGCTAGATAGTAATGAATCATCCACTCCTCCCCCCTATAAAGATGGGGTCCCAGTGAGAAGTAGGAGGAGGGCCAGCCCTGGATGGGGGGGACCTCCCCAGTTCCCTCTATCTCTTAAAGGGCTTACAGCCCTTCCAGCTTTTCTGATTGGGTTGGACTAAGATTGATTTCAAAACAGTTAAAATTAGATAGAGCTGGAACATTCTAAATAATTGCTTTCTGACATGCATAAAAGACACTCTGGTTCTCCCATGAAGCTTTTCTTCTCACCAAACTTCCCCCATCTCTTCTTCCTCACCTCCTACCCACCCCTCGGCTCAGTGTGTTCTGGCCCTATCCCCACTTCTCCATCGTGGCCACCAGAGGCCTCTTTGTTGTCAAAGCCAAGAGCACTTCATAGTGCCCACCTGCCTGGCCCTTCTGGCTGGACTGGGCACCACTGCTCACCCTTCCTTGAGCGGCTCTACCAGCTTCTCTTCTGCTGCTGCAGCTGTTGGTCCTCTATTTGCTGTGTAGGCTTGTCTTCTAGCCTACAGCGAAGTGCTAGGGTATCTCAGGGCTCTTTCCGGGGCCATCCTCACATGCTGCCCTATCCTTGGTGACCGCATCCTCATGCACTCTGAGGAGCCATCTACCATGTTCCCAGCACCAGGCAAGGTGCTTTGCAGAATTGGGCATTTTTTTTCCAAGATACTCTTTGTAAGGCTGGTCTGATTTCCTTTCCTATTCTTTTGTTTTTGTTTTGTATTGTTTTGAGATAGCATCTGGCTCTGTCACCCAGGTTGGAATGCAATGGTGCTCTCTTTGCTCACTGCAACCTCTGCCTCCTGGGTTCAAGCAATCTCCTGCCTCACCCTCCTGAGTAGCTGGGGCTACAAGGCACACACCACCATGCTCAGCTGATTTTTTCAGAGAAAATTATTTAACCTCTTGTGCATCATCTGGTCAATTATTTATTTATTTATTTATTTATTTTTTCTGAGAGGTGGAATCTCGCTGTGTCACCCAGACTGTAGTGCAACCCAGCTCACTGCAACCTCCGCCTTCCAAGTTCAAGTGATTCTCCTGCCTCAGCCTCCCTAGTAGCCAGTATTACAGGCATGTGCCACCACACCTAGCTAATTTTTGTGTGTGTATTTTTTTTTTCCTGAGAGATGGAATCTCACTCTATCACCGAGGCTGGAGTGCAGTGGGGTGATCTCGGCTCACTCCAACCTCTGCCTCCTGGGTTCAAGCCATTCTCCTGCCTCAACCTCCTGAGTAGCTGGGATTACAGGTGCGCACCATCACCCCTGGCTAATTTTTGTATTTTTAGTAGAGACAGGGTTTCACAATGTTGGTCAGGCTGGTGTTGAACTCCTTTGTGATCTGCCCACCTCGGCCTCCCGATGTGCTAGGATTACAGGCATGAGCCACTGCACCCAGCCAATTTTCTAATTTGTTAAATAGAGCCAGGGTTTCACCATGTTCCCCAGGCAGGTCTTGAACTCCTGAGCTCAATCTATCTACCCGGCTCAGCCTCCCAAGTGCTGGAAGTACAGGCATGAGCCACTGCGCCAGGCCTCCTTTTCCATTTTACAGATAAGGAAACTGACACAGAGATTGTTACATGCCTTGAACAAAATCACACATCTGGGAATAGGCAAAGCCAGGATTCAAACTCAGGTCCATCAGATGCCCAAGCCCGAGGGCCTCACACTGCCCCGTGGTGTCAGCCGATAAGAGCTCAAAGTGTGACTCCCGTTGAGGTCACTCAGATTATACAAAGCATACACAAGCCTCCCACCCTGTGGCCTATACACTCTTAGCAGCACCCATCTTCTTTGCCTTTGGGAGACAGTTGCCCAGAGCCTCATCAGTAAAAACCAGGGTCACCACCTGGGACAAGTCACCTACTCCCAGGGCTCTAAGTCCTATCAATAAATAAGGCCTTTGAACAACTTCAAAGAGAGCACCTCACCGAGGTGAGGGAGGCCAATGGTTACTGTCAAACACAGTGTGTTTCCCCAGGGCTCAGAGCAGGTCTCCAGCACAGGAGTCAGGTCTGTGTCTTCACTTGGTGCAGGGTCTCACTCGAGGAACAGAGCAATACTCCCCTGGGTTCCTGAGCACATGTATGTGGTGTGATTGAAGAAAGCATATGGTTCTGGTCTTGGGTTCAAATCTTACTCTGCCAGTGCACCAGCTGACTACCCTCGGGCAAGTCACTTGTAAAGAGGGACCAATAGCCTAGCACAGTGGCTCATGCCTGTAATCCCAGCGCTTTGAGAGGCTGAGATGGAAGGATCACATGAAGCCAAGAGTTCAAAACCAACCTGGGCAATGTAGCAAGACCCCGGTTCTAAAAAAAAATTACATATTTGAGACTGTGTATCTCTCTGTCACCCAGGTTAGAATGCAGTGGCACAAACTCAGCTCACTGCAACCTCTGCCTCCCAGGTTCTTCAAGCAATTATCCTGCCTTGGTCTCCCAAGTAGTTGGGACTATAAGAAAATGTTTTTAAAAAAGAAAAATTGGCCAGGCACTATGGCTCACACCTGTAATCCCAGAACTTTGGGAGGCTGAGGCAGGCAGATTACAACGTCAGGAGTTCAAGACCAGCCTGACCAACATGGCGAAACCCTGTATCTACTAAAAGTACAAAAAGTAGCTGGATATGGTGGCAGGCATCTGTAATCCCAGCTACTCGGGAGGCTGAGGCAGGAAAATCGCTTGAACCCAGGAGGCAGAGGTTGTAGTGAGCCAAAATCATGCCATTGTACTCCAGCCTGGGTGACAGAGCGAGACTCCATCTCAAAAAAAAAAAAAGGAAAAGAAAAGAAAATTGCGGCCAGCACAGTGGCTCACGCCTGCAATCCCAGCACTTTGGGAGAGTGAGGCAGGTGGATCACCTGAGGTCAGGAGTTTGAGACCAGCCTGGCTAACATGGTGAAACACCATCTCTACTAAAAATATAAAAATTAGCTGGTCTTGGTGGCAGGCACCTATAATCCCAGCTACTCAGGTGGCTGACGCAGAAGAACTGCTTGAACCCCAGAGGCAGAGGTTGCAGTGAGCTAAGATCATGCCACTGCACTCCATCCTGGGCCACAATGATGAAACTCTGTCTCAAAAAAAAAGAATTGCTCACTTGCACCCCACCCTGAGCCAGTGGTCACGACTGCTCCTCACATGGGACTGCATTTCTAAAGCATTGCAAGAACCCTCCACCAGAGCCCAGTGAATAGGTGACCCAGAAAAGGCACGTCCTGTTTTTTGGTTTTTTTTTTTCCCCTCTTGGATACTCTGGGACACTCACTCTGAGATGCTGAGAAGTCTGGACACCAAGGGACATATTACAAAGGAGACGTGATATCGTTCTGGAGAGATGGCGCTTGCATGTTGGCATGGTTACCGTCTTGAGCTGGAGCAGCCACCTGTCCACAAATTATTAAAATGTCACCTAGATAGAATTTAACTATTTCCCCCACTGTAGGCCACCTGCAGCCAAGGTGACCTTACTGACCCAGCCAGTGGCAATAAAACCAGCAGCAGTAACATTGGCAGCGGCTTTTTTTTTTTTTTTTTTAAGATGGGGTTTCACCATATTGGTCAGGCTGGTCTCGAACTCCTGACCTCAGGTGATCCACCCACCTCAGCCTCCCAAAGTGCTGGGATTACAGGCGTGAGCCACTGCGCCCGGCTTTGTTTTTTAATCACTTGCCCTCTGCCTGATTTGAGGATGAACACTTTACTCTCATATTATCTCCCCACATCCTCACTTGGAAGGAGGTTGTTATCTCCAATATATGGATGAGGAAACTGTAGCCTAGAAGAGTCAGATGCTTGCAGTCATCTGAAGCCTTCCCCACTCACCCCCACTTTGCACCATCTGCTTTGACCCTAGTATCTTTTGCTGACACCACATTTCACCTGCTGTATCTTAACTAAGAACATCCTGAGTGCATAGATTTCAAGATCATCCAGAGCCTTCCACCCCTCTTTCAAAGCCTGCCTTGGAAGCAAACTGGCACCCAAGGCAGCTTTTGGTATTAAGAAGTATGAAAATGTCCTGGTAGCTGCAATCTGTGAGCTGGTTCTGTGAGCTGGTGGAGCTCAGAGCCCCAGTCCCAGCACCCACCCCACTCCAGCTTGTTCAGAGGAGCTCAGCTCTGGGGGAGAAAAAGGCAAAGCCAGACACCTATGGAGTTGCAGTTAAAATGAGGGTGAAAAAGGCTTTTGCTTCAGTTCTGCAGATGGTCTGGGAGCTTGTGTTTCTTAGCAAGAATTTTCTGGATCTTTTGGCTTGAACCATCTGGATAACTGCCTCAAGTTTTTACGTGGTTCCCACTGGGTGGGCTCGGGTGGGAGGGGCTGTTGTGCATGGTCTAGGAAAGCTGGAGAAAGCTGTTCCTTCGCCCCAAGCCTTGGATTTCTTATCTGTGAAATGGGAGGCTGCAATGATGAATGGCAAAGTGACTTTTCTTTCCAGCTCTGAAGGTCTAGGGTATTTTGCCATTAGAAGACCAGCAGAGAATGGCATGACAACTCAACAGGATACAACAGCAGGCGCAGTGGCTCACGCCTATAATCCCAGCACTTTGGGAGGCCGAGGCGGGTGGATCACGAGGTCAAGAGATGGAGGCCATCCTGGTCAACAAGGTGAAACCCCGTCTCTACTAAAAATACAAAAAAATTAGCTAGGCATGGTGGTGCTCGCCTGTAGTCCCAGCTACTCGGGAGGCTGAGGAAGGAGAATTGCTTGAACCCAGGAGGCGGAGGTTGCGGTAAGCCGAGATCGTGCCATTGCACTCCAGTCTGGGTAACAACAGCGAAACTCCGTCTCAAAAAAAAAAGAGGATACAACAGAGTTGCTTCAAAAGACAAATATTTGGATCATGCCAAGACCTGGAGTGAAGAAGATAAGGAACTCCTCCTACCCCATAGCAGGTCGTGGGCCAGCCGTTTGCTACTACACTGTCTCTTGGTTAAGGCAAGATTAGTATTATTGTTTTTATTTTACAGATGAGGAAACTGAGTCCCAGGGAGGTTAAGTGCCTTGCCCAGCTACAACACAGAGAGCAGGGGCTCTGCTCCATCTTCACCATTCTTCCCACCACTACCCCGACCTTCAGAGAGCCAGAAAACATTCTTTTAGCTGCTGAGCTGTGAGCATAACTGTCATCAGTTGCTGCTGAAATTGTACCCTGGGAAGCAAGGGAGAGGGTCACTGAATTTTCACCATGGTTCTCTGCAAGGCAACTGTGCTAAAAAACATCTTTTCCTCCCCAGTATGTTAGTAGGAGGCAAGCAGATTGTTACAGCCTTCTGTCTTCTTGTAGATAATGGTGGCAGGCTGGCCCTGACTCAGGAGACAAAGGGGATCTGAGAGGACCATAGCCATAGCCACATAAGAAGGCCAACTCCTGCAGGAGGGTGGCTGGCCTCTGCAGAGACAGCACTGAGCTGCCCCTGGGGTCGTGGGTAGGACCCATTCCCTCTTTAAAGATAAAAACTCCTTGGCGGGGCACGGTGGCTCACACCTGTAATCCTAACACTTTGGGAGGCCAAGGTTGGTGGATCACAAGGTCAGGAGTTCAAGACCAGCCTGGCCAATGTGAAACCCCATCTCTACTAAAAATGCAAAAATTAGGCATGGTAACATGCGCCTGTAGTCCCAGCTACTCGGGAGGCTGAGGCAGAGAATTGCTTAAATCTGGGAGGCAGAGGTTGCAGTGAGCCAAGATCGCACCACTGCACTCCAGCCTGGGTGACAGAGCAAGACTCAGTCTCAAAAGAAAAAAAAAAAAAGATATAAACTCCTCTACCTGGTCCTTCATAACCTGCCCCTGGACACTCTAGGCCCACCAGGTTCCCAGACTCTGCCCATGAGTTTCCAGAATGTCCTTTCCTATCCCTCCACCCCATTCTCTGCTTCTTAAATTCCTTTAATACCCAATTGAAATCTTACTTTCTCTAAAGAGCCTTCCAAGTTTCTCCAACAAGAAGTACTCTCGCCTTCCAGCTACTCCCGCTGTGACTCTGGTATCCACTGTCTGCCTAGAGAAACATTGGTAGAAATGCCACTGGCTTGCTACTGGGCATCAAGTACTACGTTAGGTCATTTAATGTAGTAGACCCATTAAACAGGTGGAAAAATTAAAGCTCAGAGAGGCATCCTCTTACTCAAAGTTGTGCTGCTATTAGATGAAGAATTAGGATTTGAACCCAGGTCTTTCTGACTGTAAGGTTCATATTCTTTGTTGCTTACACCATCTGCTTCCCAGTTCCTTAGGAAGTTGCCATTTCCTTTGTAATAGACTGTAAGCACTGGAGGATGAGGCCTGTGTTTCATTCACCATCTGAGCCCCTGGGATGCCTGGCTGAGTGTCCTGAATCCAGGCGCCACTCCATGAATGCTGAATTGAATTCAGTTATACCTTCTGCATATTACAAAACTCCCACCACCAGCACTCCTTTTGTGAGTGGCCAAGGTCTTTTGTCCTCTCCCCCTCCATCCCAGCAAAGGGGACACCTGAAATCAGCTGACAGCTAACATTAAATGACAGCTGAGTGAAAGGCAAGAAAAGAGAGGGAGCAAGGGGGAAGGCAGGCAGGATTGCAGGAGCTGGGAGGGAGCTCAGAGAGGGAGGAGGGCTGTCTCCTTGAACTTGGCCAGCTTGCAGTTATTCAGAGTACAGATCTGGAATTACCAGACCCAGCCTCTAATCCTAGCCCTTCCACAGTAGTTGGGGAAACCCGGGCAAGCTGATGCACCTCTCTTGAATTTCAGTTTTCTCTTCCATAAAATGGCCATATTGCTGTTCTCACTAGACCTCTTCATTCAGGAGAAATGAGGTTTTTTCCGAGGGAGGGAGTGCTGCCTACGGGGCTGTTACCTACTTTAAATGGGGACAGTTGGAGGACCAGCCCAACCTGAAATGCCTTCCCCATGAAGTCATTGAGCCCCTAAGGCCTGGGGCAGCAGGGAACTCACAGAATCACAGGCCCATAATAAAGATCTTGGAGACAATTGAGTTTGGCTTTCTTACTCCAAGAGGCAACACAGCCTCTTGGACTGGCCAGCTCTGCCAGCAGACGGGCTGTTCCCAAATCCTGGCCCCCACCTGCTAATTTTGTAGCTTTGTGCATGGCATGCCACTTTGTCCATCTCAGACTGCTGGCTCCTTATGTTTTTTTCTTTCTTTCTTTTTTTTGAGACAGTGTCTCTCAATGTTGCCCAGGCTGGAGTGATTTCGGCTCACCGCAAACTCCGCCTCCCAGGTTCAAGCAATTCTCCTGCCCCAGCCTCCTGAGTAGCTGGGATTACAGGCACATACCACCACACCCGGCTACTTTTTGTATTTTTTTTTTTAAAGATGGGGTTTCACCATGTTGGCCAGGCTGGTCTTGAACTCCTGACCTCAGGTGATCCACCCACCTTGGCCTCCCAAAGTGCTAGAATTACAGGCATGAGCCACCGTGCCCGGCCTACTTTTCGTGTTTTTTGTACAGACGTGGTCTCACCATGTTGGCTAGTCTAGTCTCCAACTCCTGACCTCAAGTGATCCGCCTGTCTCGGCCTCCCAAAGTGCTAGAATTACAGGCGTGAACCACCGTGCCCGGCCTACTTTTTGTGTTTTTTGTACAGACGTGGTCTCACCATGTTGGCTAGTCTAGTCTCCAACTCCTGACCTCAAGTGATCCGCCTGTCTCAGCCTCCCAAAGTGCTGGGATTACAGGTGTGAGCCACCGCACCTGGCCTGGTTCCTCATCTTTAATATGGAATTCAAAGCAGTTCCTTTGCCACAGCACTACTGGGAGGATCAGAGACCCAGAAAATAACAACTGGTCATTCAGCTGGCCCTGTGGGAACTGAGGCTCAGAGAGGGAAAGTAACTCACCTACGGTCACACAGCAGGTTAGCAGCAAAGTCAAATCTATGCCCAGGCCTCCCAAAGCCCAACCCTGGGCTAATCATCAGACAGCTGAGACTACCCTTGGACATGCAGCCGAGGAACTCATGATGGGAATCACTGTTGGGATTCTATGTCTCACTGAGCTGAAATAATTGCTTGGGTTGCCTGTGGATGGAGTATGGCAAAAAGCCCAAGCCAGAGCCTAGGATCACATGTGCAACCTGGGGTCTAAGCCACGATATAACCCTAGGCATGTTGGTCACCTCTCTGACCTCTCTAAGCCTCAGTAGTTTCTCTGCTCACCAAATGGGGCAAGAAGTTCTGGCAGTGCAAAGGAAGCATATAAAGGCACAGAGTATTTTTTTCTTCCTTCCTTCCTTTTCCTTTCTTTCTTTCCTTTCCTTTCTTTCTTTTGACGGGATCTTGCTGTGTCACCCAGGCTGAGTGCAGTGGCGCAATCCTGGCTCACTGCAGCCTCGACCTCTTGGACTCAAGTGATCCTCCCGCTTAAGCCTGGCGAATGGCTGGGAATGACTACAGGTGTGCACCACCACACCTGGCTAATTTTCTATTTTTTGTAGAGATGGGGTCTCCTTATGTTGTCCTGGCTGGTATTTAACTTCTGGATATAAGCAATCCTCTCACCTCGACCTCCCAAAGTGCTGGGATTACAGGTGTGAGCCACTGTGCATGGCCCAGAGCTATTTTCACAGCAGCTACCCCTGAGCTCTCACTGTACACCTCACTATGCATCCAACCTTGTGCTGTTGCTAGCAATGGCTTCATTTAGTCCTCACAACAACCCCGCATGGTAGGAACCTAATCTGTAAATAAATGGCTAGGAACAGGTGGAATCAGGATCCGAGCTTGAAACCTATTCTCTGTGCCTGAAATACCAGCCCCTCCCCATTCCCTACTTGGACTCCTTCTTCAGGTTTCAGCATCACCCTGACTTCTCTTGGAAGGATTCCTTGGCCTTAGGCTGGGGTGGGCACCTGTCCTAGCCTACAGAGCTGGGTTTCTCCTTTTCCTCAACCACACAGGGAGCACCACTATGCAAAGACCTCATCATGTTCACAGCTGTCTCCCCAGAGCCTCAAACTGTGCTTGGCATACAGCAGGTGCTCAATAAATATCTGCCAAATGATTGAATGCATCTCGCCTGCCTCAGGATGCCACCAGGCCCCAAGAGAGCCATGGAGATCAGAGGAAAGCTTTTGGATTTCTGCCACGCCTTACATTAGCAGCATCTTCTCCGAGTCCTGACAGCCAGCCTCCTGGGACGCCATTTGAGCCAGCTGAATTCCGGTCACTGCTTCACCTTGGAAAGGCATCCACAGCCCTCACCAAGTGGCCCCGTAATTGACGTCACAGCGGGGCCAGGAGCTGCCCTGTTAATATTTAATGTGGCCTTCACTGCGGCAAAGCTGCAGTCTCCAAGAGCTGGAGGGGCTGTGCAGAGTCTCCATGGGGTTGTAGGGAGGGCACAGATGGGAAAGGGCTTCATAAACCATAAAGCCTCCAACAGATGAGCATTCTGCCAATCCATTTCAGTCCCTGGCTTAACTCAGAAAGAGCCAGGGCAGCACATGCCTGCAGTGGGACAAGAAGATTGCTGACTGAGCCCGAGCACTAAATAAATGGGGGATTAGGGGCTCCAAAGTACATTTCATGGAGAGTGGGAGGGCAGAGCACTGGCACCAGCCAGAACTGGACTCCACTCCAGGTTTGCCCCCTGCACAACTGTGTGACTGGGTCAGCAAGGAGCACTGAGCCTCAGTCTCCCTTATCTGTGAAATGAGGATGATGGTTTCCTTGTAGTGCTGCTGCAAGGGCTCAGTGAAATCAGTGATGCAGATGACCTAGCTTTACACATCACATGGTATCAACACAGGCTGAGACCCTCCTCCCAAACCAGGCCTGGGACCTGAGGTTGGAGAGAGGAGACACGGGGCCCCTTCAAGCATTCATTGGGCAGAGTGATGGCAGGAAGGAAGAAGGAGCAAAGAGGCACAGGAAGGATGACTTGGGAGCCAAGCATCTGAGGCTTGGAATTTTCACCCTGGTGGGCCTGTAGCAGGAGCGGTGTCAGAGAAAGGATGGGCAGAGAGCTCCAGGATGGGCAGAGAGACCCAGGATGGCAGACGCAGAAGGGCCCTCATGGACAGTCTCTCTGCTCATCTGACCCCTTTGTTTGGCAGATGAGCATCCGAGAGGGAGTAAACCATGCCAGAGGCTCACATGGCAGAGCTGCGGTCTGACTGGCCTGCAGCCCTCTGTGGTTTCATCAGCTTGGGTTTATCCAAGGCCAGTGCGGGAGGCAAATGTGTTGGAAGACACCATGCAATGCCCCCACTCCTGGTGGTGACTTGCACTTCTTTGGCCTGGGGAATAGGAGGAACCTCATCCCCCGCCTCTTCCTGGTCTCCCTCCAGTCTATTTTCCCAGGAATCCTGGGAGCTTCTGAAAATGTAAATCTGACCTTGTCCTTTCCCTGCTTAAAACCTTTCCATGATTCCATGCCTAAAGTCTCCAGAGAAAATATAGGAGGCTCAGTTAAAACTGAATTTCAAGCTGAGTATGGTGGCACACACCCAGCTACTCAGCAGGCTGAGGCAGGAAGATTGCTTCAGGCCAGGAGTTTGAGGCCAGACTGGACAACACAGTGTGACCCTGTCTTATAAAAAGAACAAAAACTGAATTTCAGATAAACAATGAATAATACTTTAGTGTAAGAATGTCCCACACATTGCATATGCATACTACAAAAATTATTTGTTGGTCATCTGATGTCCAAATTTAACAGGACAGTCTGTGTCTTAATTTGCTAAATCTGGCATTCCTACATACACTGCCCTCAGGATAAAAGATGAAGCCTATTTTTTCTTTGTTTCTGAAATGGAGTCTCAAAAGCCCAGCTAGAGAGCAGTGGCGCCATCTTGGCTCACTGCAACCTCTGCCTCCCAGGTTTGAGTGATTCTCCTGCCTCAGCCTCCCAAGCAGCTGAGACTACAGGCACACACCAGTATGTCCAACTAATTTTTTCCTTTTTTAGTAGAGAGGGGATTTCACCATGTTGGCCAGGCTGGTCTGGAGCTCCTGGCCTCAAGTGATCTACCCGCCTTGGACTCCCAAAGTGCTGGGATTACAGGTGTAAGCCACTGTGCCCAGCCAGGAAAAAGGACAAAGTCTTTACTTTGCCCATGAGACCCATTTGGCCCCGATCTCATCCTTCTGCTCTTCTACATGGACTCTCTGCTTCAGACACAGTTCGTTTGCCTTTACTTGAGAAACTCAAGCCCTCCCTCCCCTCTGTCCTTTGCAGATGTCCTTCCACTGGAACCCTCTTGGTGTCATCTACTCCTCCCAGTGCCCCACAGTGCTTGACTTGACTCATCCTCAGGCCTCCGAAGCATCATCACTTCCTTTTGAGGCCTGAGTCATGTCTCCTCTGGGTCCTTACAGTACCTCTGTCTGTCCTGTTCATGTGGCATAAGGTAGGGGTTCAGCAAACATTTGATGCAGTGAATTGCTAAATTCCACAGCCCCTTACACATTTCCTATCACATTTGGCCCTCCTTCAGCCAAATCCTATGTGCCCCTCAAAGCCCTGTTGGAATCCCATCTCCACCAGGCCTTCCCTGAGCCCCACAGTCCTCCCAGCTCTTTTCTTCTGAGATGCATCTGGTATGTCTCAGTCACGTCCGGGGCAGCAAGCAATTTTTTTATCCCATAAGCTTGGCAAGCTCAGCAACCCTCAGACTCCCCGCCACCCCCCTCCCCTGCCATGACCTGTGGTGCTGAGCACTGTGCCTTCCTGCCAGACAGTGCTCAACAAATGCTGGTGAGCTTGGGGGAAGCCAAGCTGAGCTCCTGTGTTGTCTTCTCCCTGCCACTGGCCAATAACTGAAATCCTAACCCATCCCTGAAGCAAAGCATCTTACATCCTGTGTTCCTATAAAGGAGGCAGGGAGACATCCTTAGTTCCCACTTCATAGGACAGGAAACTAAGGGAGTAGAGGAACCCATTTGTATTAGGGTTCCTAGAGGGACAGAATTAATGAAATAGATGATATATATAGCCAGGTGCAGTGGCTCATGCCTGTAATCCCAGCACTTCGGGAGGTGGGTGGATCACCTGAGGTCAGAAGTTTGAGACCAGCCTGCCTAATATGGCAAAACCCTGTCTCTACAAAAAATACAAAAATTAGCCAGGCATAGTGTTGGGTGCCTTTTTTTTTTTTTTTTTTTTTTTTTTTACTATTAATCATGCCGTATGATTTTTAATTATGCATAAACATCTAACATATCACCCAGGGACCATTTCACCCACTGCTCTGTTTGGCTACCAGTCTTTTGTCTCTCTCTTCAGCAATGGTGAGGCGGATACCCTTTCCTCGGGGAAGAGAAATCCATGGTTTGTTGCCCTTGCCAATAACAAAAATATTGGAAAGTTGAGTGGCAAAGCTGTTGCCATTGGCATCTTTCACATGAACCACATTGAAAGATCCAGGGTGCCTCTCTCTGTTGGTAATCACACCAATTCTTCCCAGGTTAGCACCCCTAGTCACCATACACAGGTTACCAGTGTCAAACCTGATGAAATCAGTAATCTTGCCAGTCTCCAAATCAATCTGAATGGTATCATTCACCTTGATGAGGGGATCGTGGTAGCGGATGGTGTGAGCATCAGGAGTCACCAGATGAGGGATTCCTTTTGTGCCCACAAAGATTTTTTGTACTTTGCACAATTTGTACTTGACCTCCTCAGGTGTAATACGATGTACAGCAAAGCGACCCTTGGTGTCATAGATCAGATGGAAATTCTCTCCCGTCTTATCAATGCTGATGACATCCATGAAACCAGCAGGGTAGGTTATATCAGTTCGGACTTTGCCATCAATCTTAATGAACCGCTGCATGCAAATCTTCTTTACTTCATCTCCTGTCAGGGCATACTTAAGTCTGTTCCTTAGGAAAATGATGAGGGGGAGACACTCTCTCAACTTGTGGGGACTGGTGGATGGACGAGGAGCAAACACACCGGTCAATTTATCTAGCATCCAATGCTTTGGAGCTGCCACCCGCTTCAGATGCTTCTTGGAACCACGAGCCATGGCTGCGTTAGGCAAGGAAAGAGGACCTCCGTCTTCCGGTGAGCGTAGAAATTGGGGCCCGTGGCGGGTGCCTTTAATCTCAGCTCTCAGGAGGCTGAGGCAGGAGAATCGCTGGAACCCGGGAGGGCAACAAGAGTGAGACTCTGTTTCAATTCCAAATAGGCTCTCTGCAGGCTGAGGAGCAAGGAGAGCCAGTCCGAGTTTCAAAACTGAAGAACTTGGAGACTGATGTTCAAGGGCAGGAAGCATCTAGCTGGGAGAAAGAAGTAGTCAGGGAAGCTAGGCCAGTTTCTCTTCACATTTTTCTGCCTGTTTATATTCTAGCAGTGTTGGCAGCTGATTGGATGGTGCCCACCCAGATTAAGGATGGGTCTGCCTTTCCCAGTCCATTGACTCAAATGTTAATATCCTTTGACAACACTCTCACAGACCCTCCCAGAATCAATACTTTGTATCCTTCAATCAAATTAAGTTGACATTCAGTATCAACCGTCACACCATTGTTCAAGGCTCAGGTCTCTGGACACCATCCTACCCTAGGGTCTTTGCACCTGCTCTTCCTCTGCCCAGAATACTCTTCCCTAAGATGTTAACATAGATGATGTGGCAGATTAAAGATGGCCACATAGGCCAGGCATGGTGGTTTGCATTTGTAATCCCAGCACTTTGGGAGGCCAAGGAAGGAGGATAGCTCCAGGCCTAAGTTCAAGACCAGTCTGGGCAACATAGCAAGACCCCACTGCAAGATATAGCAAGACAAAAAATAAGAAAAAAAATAGCCAGGCAGGGTAGCACACTCTTGCAGTCCCAGCTACTCAGGAGGCTCAGGTGGGAGGATCGCTTGAGCTGAGGAGTTTAAAGATGCAGTGAACTATGATCATGTTGCTACTGTCCTGCCTGGGCAACAGAGCAAGACACTATATCTACAAAAACAGTTTTTAAATTAACTAGGTGTCGTGGTGAATGCCTACTCAGGAGGCCAAGGCAGGAGGATTATTTGAGCCTGGGAGCTTGAGGATGCAGTGAGCTATGATTGTACCACTGCACTCCAGCATGAACAATGGAGTGAGACCCTGTCTCAAAAAAAAAAAAAAAAAACATACTAATTACAACTTTGGTACACCTCAGAATCATTTTTGTTACTGTCTGCGATGTGGATCACATCTCTTTTAATATAAAATATAGTATTTATAAAATACAAAGATGGAGTTTCACCATGTTGGCCAGGCTGATCTTGAACTCCTGGCCTCAAATGATCTGCCCACCTTAGCCTCCCAAAGTTCTGGGATTACGGGCATGAGCCACCACACCCAGCCCATCATGTCTCATAAATAAGGCCACAAATTCTTTGCTGCTCCCCCTACACCAAGAAGTGGCATCCCTTTCCCTGTCCTTTGAATCTGGGCTGGGCTTGTGACTTGCTCTGACAACAGAATGTGACAGAAGTGACCCTTGATGAATTCAGAAGCCTAGGCCTTGTGAGACCTTGCAAGCTTATTGCCATCCCCCTCTTGGAATGCTGCTCCTAGACTACCACATAAGGCAGCTGGTCTACCAGCTGGAGGATGGGATACCATGTGATAGGGATCTGAGATGCCCCAGCCAACAGCCAGCACCAACCACCAGCTGTGTGGGTGAGGCCTTCTTGGACCTTCCAGCTCAGCTGTGACTCCAGCTGAATGAAGCTGCATGTATGACCAGGAGAAATGGGCAGGGGAACCACTCAGGCCAACCAGGCTCATGAAAAATAATAAATGATTGTTGTAAGCCACTAAGATTGGGGGTTTGTTATGTGGCCATAGATAACCAATATAGCTGCTTCCTCCTCATTCAGGTGCCTGCTCCATTCCCCTTCAGTACCTTCCCTCTTCCCTCAAACCCCCACCAATTGCTGTTTATGCCATTATCCTATCCAAGGCATTTATCACTGTCTGAAATCATAATGTATTCACTTACAGACCTGTAGTCCATTTCCACCACGAGGCTGCAGTTTCCATGAGGGCAGGGGCCAGAATGGTCTGTTCCCTGCCATTTCCCTCAAGCCTCTGTTTGTTTATGTCTGGCACAGGGAAGTTGCTGTAATTGTTGATGGAGAGATTGTGCGCCTGCCCCTTGCTGATATGACACTTGGAGGACTAGTGTGTCAGGTGGGAGCTCTTGCTTGGTCATGTCTCCCAAAACCAGTGCCCTTGGGAGAGCAGAAGGGCAGGCCAGGTGACTGGGCTCTGTTTTAGGGGCAAGCCCAAGTTGAGTAGGAAGCCCAAGTTGAGTAGGAAGAAAAGGAAACTGCCAAAATGTTTATTTTCAGCAGGGCTCAGTTTCAGGCCAAGGAAGTTACTGGGGCTTCTCTCCTCCAAGTCAGCTGTGAATTACCAGTAGCCCAGCCACACCCTCCTGCAAGATCACCAAGCTGAGAAACTGGGCAATGGAAGAGAATGTTGGGGACACTGAGTCACTTCCCAGGGGTCAACTAATTCCAAGTCCCTCAGAGTCCTCTGAGTCTGCTTTTTCCAGTGCCAAGGAATTGGTCCAGCAGCCACAGCTTCAATTGAGGAAAAAATGCATACCCAAGAGAAAAAGAATCAGCTCCCGGGTGCCTCCTTAAGCTACCATTCTGCATTCTGTGGGAGCAGAGAGAGCACCACCATGGTTCAAGCCAGGCTGCTTTCAAGTCAGGTGGACTTGTGTTGGTATTCAGGCTCCATGACTGTGTGACCTTGGGGATGCAGCTTGACATTCCTGAGCACCTCTGCATCTATAAACAGTGAAGACTGAACTCCTAAGGTTGTGATAAGAATTCAGTGAGAACATGCATGCCCAGTACAGCTTCAAGCATACAGAAACAGTAAAACCGACTGTAGTTCAGCTTATCAGTATTTCTTCACCTGTTGGCACATGGGGTTGAGGGGAAGAGCAAGGTTTGCAGTTAAATGTGGACCCTTCCTGGGGACCAGGGCCACATTTAAGGGTTGCTTGGTTGAGACTAGAACTATGGTATGAACCCTTGGTCCACAATGGACTGCCTGATTGTAGCTGGCTTCTCTAACAGATGAGAAGACCACTCGGAGGAGCCCTCAGGGCCTCCAACCCTCCTGGAACCCCTGGCCCCCGGTATGAATAGGTCAGTGGTTTGGAGGTAAAGCTCTGACAAGGATTCAGAAGTTCTGGGTTAGAGGCCCAGCT